TGCAGAAAATCGCAGACCAATTGGATGACGTTACGGTAAAGGATATGCTCAAGGATGCCGACACCAAAAGCGCAGTATTCACGCATGACACAAGGAAAACGTCCATCCTCAGCTTGTTTTTAGTGCTTTCGCTCAACATGGAAAGTTCAGCAACGACAAGTGGAACGAGATAGCCATTTAATATCTGGATTTTGTCCAAGCCTCCCACGAGCAATATGGATACAGCCACCAGAAACGAGGTTAAAAGATTCTCGCAAAATTGGGGAGCACGGTTTTTGAGGTTTTATTCTTCCTTCCACATAAGTACGATGGCTACGAGCAAAACTCCAATGCACGAAATTTATTGTTTCCTAACTTCACGATGGTGGCGGACTTCTGGACATGCAAAACGACGGGCGAGAAATACCTCGGCTTGCGAGTATATCTTATTGATACTAATTGGCAGTTTCGGTCTGTACTTTTGGCAACACGCAAGTTTAACCCCGCCTATGGTGATCTAGATGGCGGGATCAAACGACCTTTTCTGCTGTGGGTGAAGCGCACTTTGGAGGATTTCCAGCTGACCGTTAAAGATTTCTACGGTGCCACCAGCGATAAGGGCTCCGATGTTGTGGGCTTGCTGACCGAAGAGCTCAATTGGCAATGGGAATGGTGCACGGCTCATATGGCTCACGCGGCAACGAAGGCTTCCTGTGGAATGAATGACAATGCTACATGCAAAAATCCCGACATGCGTGATTAAATTGCAAAGCTGACACGGACAATCTATCAAGTTTGGTCCGTTGAGGTTACTGGTGATTTGTTCGAAGCGCTGTGCAAAGCCCAGACCGGAACTTCCTCAACGAAGTTGTTGAGCTATTCGGCCTCTCGGTTTTTGAGTTGGACAAGCTCCATTAAGCGTGTCTTAGAAAAGTGGCCTGCTTTGGAGTCGTGGTATGCAGAGCGAGCAAAAAAAGCAATTCAAAATAAAAACCACCAGTTGTATTTCCACTGGCAGCTCAAGAAACCAATCTGATCCAGCTCCTATCCATTTTGCAGCTTGTGACTGAGCTAAAACGCGCCTGTCAAGCTGAGTCTGCGACTCAAGTCGAAGCTCTGATGAAGCTATTCAAAATTCGTTTGAACGATCTTAGCCCAGAAAAACCAGTTCGACACTATCTGGCGACCGAGAAGAACCCTCGGTGGATTGATCCCAGCGAGTTGCTGCCACTAGCAAAGTCTACACGTCTCCTACTACGGGATGCACTTGACGAGCGGTACTTTTGTCATTACTATGATAACGCCAAGGCTCTTTTGTGTTTGAAATGAAACAAAGGCTTCACCCGATTTACAAAAGTCCAAGATTGAGTCTAAATGCTGTTGTGCTGCTGGTGTGTCGTCAGCACGGCATCGGCACTCGTGACGCTTGTGCTAAGCGAGACAGAGTGAATGAGAAGATTCGCGATAAGTTACTCACTCTTATGAAAGCCGTCGCAGAACAATCGATGCTGCTGAACCTCCTTCTCCCACTCCTGTAGCATATTTTAGTGAATTGGAATTTATTTGCTCCTCCGCCACGCAGACCACAAGTCATCACCTCAGACCGGATGCACCGACGCAATGCAGAGGAATTAGACCGTTGGATCGACGACCCGATCGCGGTAGAGCGCTCACCGAATGGAACACCCGAATCTGTGCTACCATTCTGGCGGAGAATTGAACACCAAGGTGACTACAAAATTCTATCAAGAGTCGCACGATTGCTGTTCGCTATCCCAGCCTCGTCCTGCCAAATAGAGCGCGACTTTAGCGTGAGTGGGAGCCTGGTCACTGTGCAACGCACTAGTTTGTCGCAGCACAACATTGATATGTGCTCGCTTCTAAACCGCAATCGCGAGTTTGTTGACCTTCTGCAGTGTGAACCGATTACTAAAGGAAAGCACCGACAGTATACACCCTCGTGTTTTACGTATCCGCTGGATTTGAATATGGAGATGAATACCGACGATTTCGCGGACGAGATGCTGGCCAATTTCATCTCGAACTCTAGTTTGTGTGACGAAGAGAAAGACTCGACATAGGTAAAGTGAACGTGAATTTGTGAAGGAGTATATGGTAGGTCTGCTCGACGAGTCTGTGCGCTTGATCCAGGAGGCAGCCCATACATTTCGGTGTCTAGTTTCTCACAGCAGAGCAACAGCGGCTTTAACTAGGACGTTTCGTGCAGGTCGAACGACGCTGACACCGTCGTCAGTGTGTCGTTCATAGTGACGGGCACTGGTAGCGCGTAGGGCGTAAGGGTGCCAAAGGTGTACATTGAGCCACTGGCGGACGCCGCAATGACGTACCCGGCCGTTCAGCTCAATGCGACGGGTCTGGTTGGTTTTGCGAACGTGGAGATGGATGCCGGTGCGATTACGACGGTAGCCATCGGTGTCCGTGAGAAGCAGCAATGGACTAAGGTAGTTTACAATGGGATCCGTCCAAAGCTCATCTTACGAGCCCTAATTGTGAAACGTAGCCGAAGCAAACTTCTCTAAGTTTGCCCATACACGCGTATGTCACTTAACTAAAGCTACTTGCATAAAATATATTGAGTTAAGCTGTGATACTTCATCCTAGGCTGACTCGAAACGTGGCCTTCATGTTGCGTCCATCGCGTACCTAACTTTCTTTCTAGCACGCTATGAGATACTCGCAGCATTTCAACATCCTAACGCAGCTTGCGCATTGATCTGTAGCGTTTCGCTGCAGCCTCCGCTCTCTGTGCAACCTCTTTCTGAACATCAGCAATCACTGCTCGACGGCCCGCGTTTCCGTTTGAGTTTAGTTCACAACGATAGGCTAGAAGCAATACCCAAGATGGCGATGCGATGTCCTCATCATTTCGGGAACTCTTTACTTCGGAAAGCTGAGGGTTTTCGTTCTCCGCCTCGACCTTCAACTGCGACGGTAAGGCGGATGCATGCGCCTTGACAAGAGCATCTCGCATTCGCAGCCGGATACTGCGATCTTCTTTGGATAAATCTTTGTCGTCATCATCTCCAACGTCACCCGATCCATCTCCAGTATCGCCGCTCACACAAGCGTAACGACGGATGGCCTCGCGAACGAGATCGTGTATCAGCTTCACGCTATTCTCCACCGTTTGCTTTGTCTGCTCAGAAATATCGTCTATCCGTACCTCGGTAAGACGCTAGCCGACCTCCCCTGCCACGTCATGCTCCACCTTGATATCGCTAATTTCCGTACACCTTCCTGTTTGTGGATGGGCAGTCAGAAGCTGGCGCTGCACAAGTTCCATACGCTTCTCCACTTCTTTTTCACAAGCTCTTTTATTGTGTTGCAGGCCTCAGCTTCATCTGCCATATCACGTATTTCAGGTACACGATCGCAATGCTGCTGTAATTTTTCTCGTAGAATTGAGACCGCATCGGCTTGACGTTGAGCTTGAAGGTTAAGATCAGACTGAGTAGATACTTAAGCTTGCTGCACTTGAGCTTCGAAGTGGCGATTTGATTTCTCAATTTCTTCCAGCACGAAGCTCTTGACAGCGTCATGCGAAGTTCTATCTGAAGTGATCGTGTTTGAAGTAAGCTCCTGTTTCAAATCATCACGCGCCAACTTAAAGCCCAGCTCGAATGATCTCTCAAGGTGGTCCTTCATCTGTGTTGTAGATTTTCTTACAAGCTGCTGCGCCAGTTCGGTTGTCATTTCTATAGTTCTCGCTTGGTGCGTTGCTATCTTCTCCCCGACAAGTTGGTGGATGTGTGAGGTAAAGACCTGGAAGCCACTGCCAATTTTCGCGTCAATCTGCTGCTCCACTCGAGCGACACCGTCTACCTGAGCGGCAATCATCGACTGCGACTCGCTATGGGCCTCCCGAAGAGCACGAAATAGCTTGTCCGCCACAGATCTTTCTATCTTCTCGCTGACGTTAGCTTGCATTGTTTCTAGCCGCAAGAATTGCTCGCGAATACCAGCGTGTGTCGCCATCAGCTCTTCATGAAATCGGCCTGCGATTGCCAGTTGTTGATTGGCTAGCTGTTTAATGCCGGCATCTATGGATTCTCGAACAGCAAGCAGAGCGGAACTTTGGGCTTCACCTTGGCCTTCGCATAAATGTGTGCCCTTCAGCGAGGGCCTGTGTTTGAGTAAGAAATTACTCTGCAAGCTTAGCCAAATAGTCTTGACCATGCCGGACAAGCTCGACGGTAGATCGTTCTGCCACCACCTCAGCCACTGCGGTCTCGTCGCTATGGTCTACAACGACAATGGCCGCTTCAGGAATCTCTTGTTGCTGTGCCGTCGCTTGTGCTCTGACCTGCGCTCGGGTTAGCACCATCTTGTTGATCAGGGGGATATTTTCTTCTGCGTCATGAAATATTTCAGTAGTATCTTTTTAGCCAATAGGATCGGTTGATAATGAGCACGACGAGCAATATTTTCGTGCTCTCCTGCTAAAGTTGATAGTGAGGTGGAATCGAAAAACCTCAAGAGCATTACTCTTGAGGTTATTCTCCTCCAAAAAAAAACTCAAGAAGCGTGCTCATCATTTGCTCCTGGGACGCTTGATTTTGTCACTGACGTGGCCAAAGCTGCTGCGAAACGACCTAGAGCGATCGTCTAAATATATAAAAACTTCTTCCATTAAGCGGAGATAGATATTTTTCAAGTCTTGAGAAACCTACTGTACTTCTTTCAAATCGGGCGGATACTACGCAGGTGCTTTAAAGTACGTTTCTGCCGATATGTGGCAGAATAACTCTGGTTGTGGAGGTTGCATGATAATTTAATTAAACAACAAGTCTGTGTGTACTACCTCGAAGTACAGTAATAGTGCTACGTGTCGAGGTCATGGCCAACGAAGGAGCAGACTACTGTAGTCGTACCAGTACGCCACAGAAAAACATCAGCTTCAAAAACTGTCATCTTTTACGGAGATATTTTTCGTCATTACCATAGCATATTTGAAAAAATGCTTCGCGATTTAAGACTTATTTCTATTTTCTTTGTAAAAGCTACGGTGTCATTCCGTACTTCGTATCCCACGACTTAATTGGAAACTTGGTAGGCGTTAAGGTTGCGCAGTCGATTGCTTGTCGAAGAAAATGCCAATTGGTCTCGGCTGCATTCACCAGAAATTTAGAGTAACCTGGATGAAAAGCTTCACTAAAGTCGCTGGCCAATCCGTTGACAATCTTTTCCAAATCCGCACAGTAGGGAGTTCCACTCGCGATAATATTTGGTGTGCCTTCTACTTGTCTCTCCACAAATAGATCAATCCACGACCAGAAGAACGAAATCTTAGTCCCAGATACATCGATAATCATTGTTGAAAACGTCACCTCACGTGGTAGCTCGTTCACATTGGTATAGCTAAGAGTAACATGCTGGATAGCTGAAGTCTCGAACAGTTGACGGGGTAGCACTTTGATAGGGTTTCCTGCAAGTGATAGAGAATTTGGTTGCAGTCGTATGAGCGACAACGGAATACTCGTAAGCTGACTATTTTCGATGTAGATGCTCGCATTAACATCCCACTTCTCATCGATATTGTCCGGTAGTGTCCTCAAATTCGTCTCGCAAAAGGTTATTTGTGTGAGGTTAATCGGGAAGTCATTCGACTGCAACCCGAGAGGAAGGAGTCCATCCGTCATATTGATTCGAATCATTGATAACACTGTCAAGTTGGGATGACACGAATTTGTGACTGCAGCGTCAGGCCCCCAGTCACGAATTGTCGAGTTGTAGATCCAGATTTCACGCAGTCGAATAAATTCTTGAAACATTGCAGGGATTTCAAGGTCAGGACAATGCAGAACGTGTAGCTTCACTACGGTAGTGTGGTCGAATCGTTTCCACTGATCTAATACATCGACTATTGACCCAGTTATTCCCATTTTGTAACACTCAAATTCCACTGAAAAACATGCAGGAAGTGCTCCAGTCATAGGGTATACCTTGGGACTACATTCCACCAATGGCGCCTTCGATGATGCTTGCACGTGCAAAGATAAAACTACAGTACCCCATGCGAAGAATACACAATGAACAAAATTGAAGATCATACACCGCGCTCGATGCGATAAATGAGCGCTGTGGCACCAGAAAGTCCGCGGAATCAGACACTTGTAGGTTCCTTTTTGCTCAACATGACCCCGGTTAGTTACTCTTGGGGCTGTAAGGCGAGAGATAATTGGTTTAACCGAGTTATGTCCACGTTGTTTGAGATCGGCGGTACTGGGGCCTTGAGTGTGTGTCTTTCGATTCTCTCTGCCATGTTTCCAGCGTAGTAATTCTTTCATACTTGCGGTGGTTGCAATGATACCAAGCGCAAATACTACGCGAGAAACCAAATCTGACCATGAAGATACAAGCACCAGTCTCGCTTCGTCGAGCATCTGAGCCATCCAATCGTTGTCTTCTAGCAGTTCGGAGCTGAAACTCATGACCTCAGCATCGAAAACGTCCACATAGTTTAAAACAATCAGAACAGATACGCCCATCGCAGACATCAAGTCCAAAGTGCAATCCAGCACAATTACTGCCAGTCTTCGACGGGCTTCGTCATTATTGAGCAGACGAGTATGAACAAGTACAGACGACCAGCAGTTAAGCACCAGTAAACTAACGTAAAACCGGTTTAAATCGTACCGAGACAGGTACTTGCTCATTTTATAGGCTTGTACACTTTGGAAACTCGTCTCCACTATCTCTCGACAGACAAGAATTACATAAAAGTACCGTCCATTAACGCCAATAGCGCCCCGCCGACTAGCGATATTCGCATATGTAGCCGTTGCTCTTCGAAGCATTTGGAAGGTTGACGTCCCCTGTTTACGAACATGGTAATTTACATTCCCATTTTTCTTAAATAATGCCTTCCTTGCCTTGTTTCGCTTGATTGTTGACTGAGACCAGGGATAAAATACTAAGCAACGCTTGCGAAATGATCCAACCAGCATGAGAAGGAAGAGTCCACCATTTAGAAATGCTAAAGCTATATACACGTAAGAAATTGTACGAAAGTCATTGCGCGACATTCCAACGTCGTAAGAGTCTAGCGAATAGCTCAAAACAGTCGAGCCGAATATCCAGTAGAACTTAGCGTAGCACAAGTGAAAAAGGAACGTGACCAGATGAACGCCGAGGATGAAGAGCCACCATACTGCAAACCCACGAAATGAAAGCGCCACAAACTCCGTCTGAGGGGTCCTTGGAAGAACCGCAGGCGCGATCATCGTGCCAATTAATGATGTAAAAATACACTTACAAGGGTGCGATCTTTTTCTAATAAATATTAATACTATCATAATATTATCCGGATAATACTTCATATATTAAGCCATTTCATTTCTCCAGTGCGCACACAAAATAACTCGTCAATTTTAGTCTCCTCTAATATTGAGTAATCAGACCCAAAATAAAATGTAAGATTATGTGTCAGACGCCAAATTCACATGACAGGAAAATACCGAAGTCCGTGATAATGAGCGTAAGTATCCCGTGCTCCGCTTACTTTTGCTCACCCGATACTGTACTAAGACCTCACCAATACTGCTCAGGCCGAAGACGAAAAACATGGCAATCATATACCGCGCGAATCTTTGCAATTGACTGCGTCTCTGCTGTGTGAGCTTCCCTTTAAATCCGCCGAAAATTCAAGTCACAACACGCATAAAGCCTCAATCTCGGACCAGAATTCGCCTTGGATCACCGTTCATGGGGCTAAAAGCGCCATTATAGTGAACGACAGGACGCAGGTGCAACTTGTGGACGTGTCAGCGCCGGAAGAGTCGAGAAATGCGACTCAGAAGGTCATTCAGACCGCTAAAGAGGTCCAGGCAATGACATTCAGCGGCTGTGGAGAGTTCCTCGCAGTCGCTGACGCTACAGGAACGCTGTCTCTGTACAAGAGCAATGGGACTCTATTGTTCGGACACCGGATAATGCGCGAGGACTCGGACAGTGTCGTCTCGATTAAATTTGCCACTTCGGAAGGCAAAAAGAGCTCGAGCGACGCGCAGGAGCTGGTGGTGGTGACCCGATTGGGACTATTATTGCGAATATGCGGCTTGGGACTCGCTGCGTTCGAGAAATTGGTGCTGGAGAAGCCCAAGGAGGCGCTGAGCGAGATTCTGCGGACCATTCGCTTTAACCGGACGAACGTCGGGCGGCTACAAGCTACTGCGCAGTCGTGTGTACTGGTAAGTGTCGATAAAGCGGATATGTCTATTATTTCTTGAGAGGTTTTACTTATATTGTTGTAGACACATCACTTTCAGTCGGAAAATTTTGTGCTTCTAGGGAATCATGGAGCGTTTCTGAGTGTGTGGAAGTCGAATGATACGGAGATCGAGGTGCGAGTGGTCGAGACCTTACGATAGTCCAAAAGTTGAGGTGTTGACGTGGATTTGCGGTCTAGAAAGTGGCGGGGAACGACTCCAGATCGACTTACGTAGAGGCGATGGACTTTGACGCCAACTACAGCGCGCTTGTGGTTCTCTGTGAAGGAAAACTCTCTTGGTATGGAGGATGTAGACTGCGATTATGACGTTTTGCTAACGTAATATTTGTGGTAGGTGGAATTGGCGAGACATGACCGAGTTGAAGGAGGCAGCTGTGTCCGGAATAATGAGCTTTGCGGTGGTCGGAGCTCGTGGAGAGAGCGAGTCGAACTCGACGTCGCTACTCGTTGTGGCCAGAGCTGCTGAAGACGCCAATGCCACGCCATCGTTTCAATTGGTTGAAATCTCGCACGATGACTCTGGCGATGCTAACACTGTAGCGGTCTTGGACTGGACTGATAGCGTGTACAGGGACGTCGCGCTATTCGCAAGAATCGGTGGCTCTAGTCACTGCCAAGCACTCGCAGCGTGTCGAACCGAGGGCGGTGTCACGATGGTACTACTGACTGGGGATCATAGTATTACGGACGATAGTATTGGAAGTGAAGGAGAGAAGAGTGTTGGTGAAGATGCCGTCACGATGGCCGAGTCGCTAGTGGACACATCGATCTCGTCTTTGACGCACAAAGGAAGGATGAAGCGGTATCAGACTAAGCTTGATGCTTGTACTCGCTGTATTGGAGACAGCGAGGAAGATTCCCGCGTTATTCTCAAGATCTTACTGGCAGTAGCAGCGAGGATTCGGGAGTACACAAGCTCGTCACCAAAATTGCCGTCTCGCATGGCAAGTTTACTGCATTGGTGCGATAAAATCAGCGACTTGTCGTACAAGTGGACCACATTCCAGCTACTGCGTAGTTCGTCTACACGTGACACACTACGCGAGAAATGGCGTCGATTTGGATCACGTGGTGTGGCTGAATTGCTGGAAAAGTACATGAAATTGGGCAACATGAGAGCTGTAAGGCTACTGTGGAGTCGTCACGTAGACGACGCTACTGTCCACAGCATCGGTAAGCTACTCGAGGGTCTACCCGCGTCACTTCCTGTATCAGCGTATGCGAATTGGCTCCAGAATGAGGTTCTACCCTTGCTGATCCATCATGCTCAGTCACAAGCGACGGAGACTGGCACTGAGTCTCTCCTCGACCAAGTAGCGCTGTGGCTGCTAAAGAGAGCGGAAGATACCGCAGCTATTAGAGATTTGGACTCGGCTATGCGCATCTGCAGTCTACTCAAATCCGAGGACACTACGATGCAGTTGGAGTTGCAGACGTCGAGTAGATCGACCAACACTGACGTCCAACAGCCGAATATCTTTGAACGTATGGAACATTTACGTGAAAAGTTACGACACGTGAAGTATCTTTCAGTGGAGCATCAATTCGACATTTCGCTGCCGGTTTTCGAGGACGAAACACCGGCAACCATCGCCATGAGTATGCTGGACCGTGTATGCGATGCTGCTTTACTCAAGAATGCAATGGAGAAACATGTGCGTAAATATCTTGGCTTCTGTGGCGTCAAAGTCGACTCAGTGCTACACGACTACGTGACGGAGCTGGCAGAATCCGTTCAGACTGCTCAATCCACTGAAGAGCTCAGAGCGCTAGTGTTATTGGAGGAAATCTCGGATATAAACGTGCGTGCAGATGCTACCCTGACCTTGCTGAGGTCTTCGCTCCCTCCGTATTCGGACGCATTGAAGAGATCCGCCCACAACGCCACGCAATGGAAGACAGAGCGACGTGAAGAACTGCAAGAACATGTGCGCTTGATGGAGATCCAAGAGATGCTGACCAAGTATGGCATGACGCAGTTCGATATCGCTGATACCAAGAGCGCGTCTCGGTTGGTGTCCCACGTCTTGAACCAAGTCTCAAGACCCACAGCGTTCGTGGACGCGATGCTTTTGGTTGACGCCTACAGCGATCTCCGCTGCGATCGTGCAGTGGTTCGCTTTACAGAGAATTTATTCGTTGATGGTCTTGTAGACGACGTTTCTGTGCGAGTGACGAAGGCGATGGGTGCGCTAAAGGAAATTAAAAAGCGAAGAGAGGTCACGTCGAACGTGATGCTGTACGTGTCGCTATTGGAAGAAATTGTCGAGTATGGCGTGATGTTGCTGGAACTGGAAGCTGACGAGAGGAGTGAGGCTTTAGAAGACGCTGAAGTGAAGCCGTCAATTATTCTCGGCCTGCTAAAAGCTCTTGTTGCAGTGTATTTACCCGAGCTGAAGACACTGTTGGAAGTTGCAAGCGCTACGGAGGATGACGCGGTTAAGGCATACGTAGACAGCTCGGACTATTTGCTGTGCGACACACTACTCACGGATTTACAGAGGATCGCTCGGATTGAGACTGAATTTCATCTTCTGCTTTCTATCTCGACGCTACGAGATCCAGAAAAGTGCGAGACGAAGCTCAAGCAGTTCATTAAACCAGAAATTCTGTTTGCGCAAGACGAGGAACGTGAAGACACTCGAGAGTTAACCGATCAAGTGACGTATGTTGGGAAAGGTAAAGGTAAGAAGCGTGCTGTGGCTTTGAATGGATCCGTCTCTAATAAGAGGCAGCGAACACGCGAAGGCATTGAGTGTCAACGTACGAGTCCTGGACTGCAGCGAGATGACGAGAGGACGCAACTGCTCTTCGACTTGAATCGATTCGCGTCCGTCGTGGGGGTCAACGACAAGGTCTGTCGGTCGCTTCTCGCTCAGAGCGCGGCTACAAATGGGTCCATCCTACAAGCGGTGCGTTTCTCAAGAGGATTATTCTCCACGAGAGTCAACACTGACGTCGATAGCGTCGAGGCACTCCAGAAAACGGCCATCTCTCTTTCCTTGTACACGTCAAGTTACGTCAAAGACCTCTACGACACGTCGTTTCCTCGACGTCAGCTGTCTCCAGCTCAAAGAGCAAGAGCTCAAGCGCCGATGTACACGTTGGAGTTACTGAGATATGCGCTGTGTATGTGCGAGAAAGAATCGTTCGACGAGACGTTGATTCTCTTCAAGAAGACGATGCTGGTGCACGATATCCTGCAGTACACACAGCACAACATGGCGAACGATAGAGCTCTGTGGACGCTGTATCCGCGATGGTATCGAGGAGATGCCTGTGTCTTACCCAGCAACGAAGCGATGAAACTGGTGACGAGATTTGCGATCGCTGAACACAAAAATCTCCGCCGAGAAGGCGAGCATAGAGACACGATCGCGTCCAAGCGCTACGTCTCGTACTTAGTGGAACAACGCGCTGATCTGCTGAGTCTACAGGCGTTATTGTCGATGCAAGAGCTGCCTGAAGACGCCGCGATGGTAGTGAACACGCAGATGAGAAAGCTCTTATCCACTGTCTTCCAATCTCCAGAGATCGACAACTATCTCGCTTTAGGGTACGTTGTCCTTAACTGCTGTTGCGCTATGGAGAGTCTGACGTTTGTCGCTGTAGATTGATGCTATCGATGAGGCAAGAGGACGCGTTCCATGCCTTTCGAAGGCAGATTTCGCGTGAGAATGTGGCCAAAGACTTCCATCGCTTCCAGAAGCTTGCATTCGTTGGTGCGGATGCTGCTAGAGCGTGGCAACAGATCGCGTTTCTGCACCAATGTGTCGAGTTAGAGGGCAATGCGAGGTGGTGGCACTACCTCAGTTTACTGGGCATTGAGTGCGACCACAAGGCGTTCCAGAGTGAACGCAGAGACTTGGAGTACATTCGTGGGCTTGTACCGCAGCTGATCGCTCGAAGTAACTTTGACTTTTACACGATTCTGGAGTTCACACGGCACTACCAGATCGACGACAGCTACCCGTCTCTTGTGTATACGGAAGCGCTGTTGTTGAGCGAGTGTGCGACTTTGAATCTCGAGTATCAGGACCAAATCGTGGGCGTTGTTGACGACATTCACGAGCAACATTTGTCCAAGTTGTTGCGTAAAAGTCTCCCCAAGATCTCGGGTCTAGACTACGATCGACTGCTGTTTATCTTTCGCCTGTTGCTCGAGAAGACGTCGTATCGAGAACGTGAAGAAGTGACAAGACGAGTGCAAGTTCTGCGGACTTTAAAGGTGTTTACGGCGTCTCAAAAGACGGAGGGTATCGACATGAAAGTCTCGTTCCACGAGCTCCTCTCGAAGCCTCGAAAAGTGCTGTCTCGACTGGTGAATAGTGAGAACTTTAACGCTTTGATTGGACTGGTGGAGCCTCTCCGACTGCAGCCAGATGAGCTACAAATGATGCTGTTAAAGAGTATGATCGCAAAGGTCAAGGCAAACACAGAGGACGGCACCAAGTTCCGTGCGTTTGAAGACATTTTGGTCTGTTTGAGCGCCGAGAACCGCGTGACTATGGCCGAGTGGATCGCTGAGAACCTTCCGTTAGGCGAAGACAAGCTGGAAGCTCTGGAATTTGCTCGAAAAGCTGCTGTATCTGGGTCCGAAGACGCGTGTAATACCTCGTTTACTGGGTATGAAGCTCAAAAGCGACTGGAGACCAAGATGTTGCGTGTGAAAGTGGAGATGCTGCTTCAAAACTCGACGTCGGAGACGTCTAGTGTGGCTGATGTGATTGCTGACAAGGATCAAACGAGTCAGTTGCTTGCGTTGGTGGCGGAACCTACGAAACTCTTCCAGGAATTGTACAGACGATACGCCTTGTCGTTCTACAGTCACAACAGTGACATGCTCCACACGGTGGCTAGTAGTATCAGAGATCTGCTACAGTTGCCTCAAGACGACATCCGACTTGATTTGGTTCGCGACTGGCTCGTTGAAGACGCTCTTCATATCGGGAAAGAGGATTCGAGTGCAGGTACGACAGAAGATCCGTTTGAGCTCGTGAAGGATGAAAAACTGCGCCAAACAGATGAAGAATTCGGGACAAGGATCGTCTATCTGACGAGTGCTAGTGTGAAGGCTGGAGACGCGTTCGGTGACCAAGTTCTGAGTCATCTCGTCGACTTTGCCAAGGACTCGCGTCCGCGTGCTGGCGTCACGTTTCGGGCGAAGATGAGGGCGTTGCGTGTGATCTTGCGGCTGACCCAACTGTCCCATGCTGCTGTCGAAGCGTTTGTCTGTACTAAGTACGGCGTTGACAGTATCGACACGTTCTTGAAGAAAATACTGCGACATACGAAGCTGTATACACACATGATGGCGTTCGAAGAGCATCGAGTACCGTACGACATGAGTCACTTGTTGCAGAGCGATAAAGAGACCCTTGCACGTAGTTTCCTGATGAAATTCCCTCCGAATCAGCCGTGGGTGTTACGATGTGCCAGTCAACTCATGCTTGACTTTGACGTAGCAGCTCTAGATGTATGGGACGAAGTGCTGACGAGCATGTTGCAATTGGGAATGGTTCGATCGCTGGCTACGATCCTGGAGCCTCTTAGTAAAAAGCCATTCGTACGGTCATTGAACTGTGGTCGACACGTATGGGAGGAGGTTTTGACCTCACCAATGACATATCTCAAGCACAAAAAGCGACAAGATATACACAACGCGAAGGACGAAATGGGTACTGTACGCTTTAAGGGGATACCGATTAGAAACGTGCGCTCAGTACTGGCGAGAGTGGTGACGCTGCTTCAAAGTTGCCCATTTCTCGACCAGATTGACGTATCTGCGTTCGTAATTCACCTGCGAGATTTGAACGTGATGGCGGAGAAGGAGCCGGATGGAGCAGATATTGCCCGACAGCTGGGTATGGACGACTTCGCTGTCAAGTGTGCACTGGTTATTCCAAGTCCTCTATCTCGCTTTGAGACGCTGGTGAGGATGATTCACGCGGAAGCGTACAATTCAGTTCTGCATGAACTACTGGACTCATGTTTCCTTGATGGCGAAAGTACTATCGAGGAAGAGAATGGAGAAGTCGCTGACACGTCTCGCTTGATCCAAGAGTGCTTCTCTGAAGCAGCAAGACGAAAAGATTATTTGTCCATTTTGAATACTCCGATGGAGCCGGGCTTCGTGGAGTATCTCGCTGCTACTGCAGACATCGATTACCTCCTGTCTTTATTGTACGTTGCTTTGACTTGCTGGGTTTTAGAGTTGTGTTGACGTTTTAACGTGGTGTTTTGGGTGTGTAGATTGGAGGAGAAGCGGATGGAGACAGCTTTAACCGCAGTGCAACTTTACTACGAATATCATCCCACAGCAGTGCCGTCATTTGAAGACATGGAGCCAGCAAGAGAGAAAACAGACACAGACAACAAACGCTGGGCCCTCATTGAAGCGTACTTGGTTTCTTCAAGGTCAATACTCCTAAAACGTTTCCGAGAGGCCCCGAATAAATAATACAACTGGGAATAAATGATATTATTTCCGTAAATATCCTTCCGGTATTTTGAGCCGGTGTAAAATCAATTTTTAATAATAATTTATTTTTAGAGCTCTCTCGAATTACTAAATTTTGTAAAGATAGTACATTTCACGACTCGCATTAATATGTCTTAAACTGTCCTTGTCAATCAAATATGCACATCCAGCCATTGCACTATGTACATTTGCGAACACAAACTAATACATATCGAGCGGTGTGCATCAGTACCGGCACTAATAGCATCAATCAGTGCTATGTTATTCTGACTGGCTGAATCATTTCTACTTTTTCCCGTTACTTACGTTACCCGGATACCATACGGCCATGGCCGTGTTCATTGAGCACATAATACGTATTATCTTGCCCATAATACGTATTATGCCGAACGAACGCGACCAATCATAATACGTATTATCTCCGCTTAATATGCGTTTTCTCAGCTGTTTTGGTAACCTGAAGAAGGCACACTATGATTATGTGCTGAAGGCTCGCTCTTGTGTTGAAGGGTCGCTGTAGCCTACCCTTTCGGTATCGGTTTCCTCCTAGAGGTGCCTCTTGAATGTCCATTACTACGCTCATTCACTCTCAGAACACTTTCATCAATCGAACACGCATCAACTGAGCTGAAACTATGTTCGAACCATATCTGACTCTCAGTATGCATTTCACGATAATATGCATTATCGGCGAACACAGCCATGGGCATGATTCTATCCCCGAACACAGCAGGTCGCGGCCTACTCTCTTAAGATTTGTACCGGACGAGCAAGATGAGCCGACCCGTTTGTATCGGCGCCAGTGCCCCACGATTTGGGAGAAAATATAAAAAATGGACAGCCAAGTCTGAATTTCGGATAAAATGGAGTTTGTCCGCTGTGGCACATCCGCGCAGTGATGATAGGGGTTGGTGTGGGTGGTTCTGAGGCTGAGCCTACGGCAATGACATATGCTAGGTTAAAGGGCCCATTTGAAAATTCGCGGCAGTCGAGGAGAGGAAGCATCATGGGGAAGACGGCAGGGCACAAGGCTGCGGGATGCAGCCAAGAACAGGGTCGCGAGGTAGGCATGAACGCGACTGTGAAGAAGGAGCTTGCAGCGGAGGCTACCTCGACGGCCAAGGGCGTCCAGACGTACAAGGAGCGGGAGAACAAGAAGAAACGCATGAAGAACAATCCCTGGAAGACAAGCTCGCGAAAGCTGCGCTACAGGGGGCACAAAAAGCCCGTCCGCACCTCCACCAAAGTGTACAATGTCGGCAAAATGAAGGCGATGTGCATGAAAAGATTTCTGCGGCTGCCAGGAGTTCGTGAGGCGCTGTCTGCGCGGCGCAATGCTGTGCTTCGTCATGAAGCGGCTCCTCGTAAACCCGAGGTAATCGTTATTGACGACGACGGCGATGACCTCTGGCCGAAGGGTGTGGACAAGGTGAGTGTGTCTCGAAACCCCGAGAAGATTAAATTTCCAGACACGGGTCCTACAGATAAGTGCAAGTGCTGCTTCAGAGACGATTGTCTTAATGCCGACACCAGTTACTACGCATAACTTCGCAGCAGATGAAGAGCAGACCTGCGACTACGCTTTGGAGCTTCAGCTCAAGAGCACTCGAGGCAAGAAAGTCTACATTAATGCGACGAGCTGTGGTGGTATAACGCGAATGCTGAACCACTCGTGCGACGCACCGTGCCACTTTGTGGAGCTACGCAACCGCGAAAACGTGACTGTGGTGGTGGTGACCAAGCGCACGATTGAAGAGGGAGAAGAGGTGACTGTCGACTACGTGGACCCGTGGTTCGACTGCGTGTGTGGTGCTGCCAACTGCCGTGGCTAGGACAAAAAGCCGTGTATCCGGGCTCAAGATCACCGTGTTGCAATGTCGTAGGTGCCATTAAAGTAGGATGGAAGCACGAATTGACCATGAGTAGCGCCGAAAGCAACCTTTATTGCAAATAAATCGTGTCCATGTTCTGGCGCTAAGCTCGGCGGCTTGGTTTGACAGGGGATGCAGCACCGAACCATTTTACTTCAACCTGCAATCTGAGAACCTTTAAAAAGAAAACCCGTGTATTGAGAGTTTACTCTGACGTATGAAGCGTTGGGTAGAGCACCTTTCACGGCACTATCAGTCCTTATCACTGTGAGCAAGGCCGAACAGCACTTCTACTCCATATCAAGAGCAAAACCGTTGGTGCGAGGTCTTCCCACAGGTACATGGGGTTCAGTTGTTTAGGTTTCCCGTTGCCGTTTCTTAGACGTGCCTCGGTAGACCAATGTAGCTTTTCCAACCGGTTCAGCAGCGCCAGAGACTTTCAATGCGTGAAGAAGATGTATGCAACACACGAACTTAAAGAAGTAATTGCATGGGCAGCTGCGTCGAGTAAGATCCTTTTGCATAACACGGAAGTACACCGAACGCAGTGCATTTAGCATGTCCGTGTATTGGGGTTCCAAACGCTGAGAAGTTACGAACAACGCCACTAGGTGAAATGAACGACATCGATCTGACATTGCACAAACCAGTACTGGGTATTCCACTTGAGCCACCTTAAATGTAGCATCCACGTGAAAAACAAATGAATCCACCGGGCGATCCAACCTAGATAGAAGCCTTTTTGAAGTCACACCAACCACGAAAGGTTTTTCGTCAGATCCTGTTCCAACTTCGATATGGCCAGCAGCATCCTTTTGACAACTAATAGTGAAAGATGCGCTATCCTCACCAGTTCCGTTAGCCTCCAACCCACGTATGTACTCAGTGAGCTCGTCCACAAAATCATTGTTCATCATTTTGGTCTTGCGAAAGTAGTTCGAGAAATTTTGCACGACCTTCAACTCTGGCAGATCATCCATACGAACGTTAAACTTTCGAGGCATCGCGTTTCGAATACGACCTGGTCGCAGTCCTTGCGCAGCCATCTCTCTGATGTAAGTCTTATGCGCTTCTGTCAACTTGTTTTCTTGGTATCCTTCTCGAGGCTGTTGTGTTCCCCACACTCGTTAATGGTGAACTTCCGTGTATGGTTGCACTCCATGACACGCCCACGCCACTATCAGTTTGCCTGTTGACCGCTAGTTTCGCATTTTGAGGATGAGCAGCTCAAAAGTTGGTAGCGCATTTCGTGGGGGGTTGCCACAGTACATATCGTGCAGGGGACGGTATGACTGGTTCCCTTCTTGTACTGCTTAAACCCTGCTAGCGCAGCTTCTGCGGTAGTGGCGTCCACAAAATCGCGTACTATAGTCCACTGCAGCGTCATAGCAGACCGTGATTGAGGCAAGCCGTACCTGTCGGTCGCCCTGGGAGCTCCACCACGAAGGCGCCAGATATCCTCGGCAGCTGGAATTGCGATGTGCGCATCTGCGATAGGATAAAAACCCTGTCAAACGCCCATGAGATTGGCTAAAATACAATGTCCGCAATTCAGCTTCCTCTGTATGCAAGTCAGGTTACGATCTCCATGAAGACACAATGATGTGTGTTCTTCCCAATCGCTTGTGCGCCAATCATATATTTTATGTGCATTCAGGCACTTTATGTACTTTTTTGCATTACTGTGTATTTTTTTTTCTGTTTCTCACGATTTGGAAGCAATACCCTAGTGCTGACTATAACAACCTCCTTAGCCACGTCCGCCAGAAGTACCCAGACGTCAAAGCCATCATGGCGATTACGGTGTCGGGAGTCGATATGGTCACAAACTCTCAAATGCTGTACTGCTCGATCGACTTCACTACCTCATACAACCTACCCTCATCGTTCCCGAGAGCACTACAGTGCGTAAGTACTGGGTATCTGCACCGAGACGCAGATCAAGTACGCTGGATTACCCACGACAGAGGTGGAACAGATCATAATCTCGGTGCTTCCCGCAAACTTTGGCAATGTTTTCGATGGATGGCCTTGCCACTCTGAGCAATACAACGCATTATTTGCTGTATTTGAGCACGACGGACTTCCCGAGACAGCCCCCCTTGCAAGAGGTGGAGGGTCGCGGGGCTGATATGCACTTGGCATTTCTACGCTCGATTTTGGGCATCTACAGGTCGCTTTGCTGTTTGTCCCTGATGACAATTGATCTACAAATGAGCGCGTCGCCACTCGATGGGGTCTTCCACTCGTTGTCTGAGCTAGCCATCGGCTGCACTTGACAGCTAAAGCGCATTAGGCAAGCTACGAACCGCTGTTCAGCAAGGTCAACAATATGATGCGTAAATTACGCTGTCTTAACGCTACTGGAAAACATCAGTAAGCTAATTTGGGAATTATTCTGCTTTTTTTTAAGGGAAACCCCTTCTAGCACTCAGTCCTACCCAACGTCACCCGCTGGTTCAATACATCTGTCATGATCCCGCGTTTTGCTGTTGCGAAAAAAACTTCTTTGACACTGATGATGACATGATTGCAATGCTGATGCCAAGCCGACGTGAGGAAACCAGATAAAGCTGCTGCTAAAAAGATCTAAAGGATTTCGAATCCGCGTTAAAGAAACTATAAAGTGCCGACGGGGTGTCTTTACTAGATGCACGCGACCTATTCGATACACTAGGCGATCGCTTTGCTTGTCTTCTCGACTATCCTGGCGCAGATGTTGCCATCACGCACGACGCAGAGTTTGAAGCGGCCTGTGTAGCGATTCGGCTTGGTGAGAGCGAGACACTTTCTGCCGGACGGCGCCGACTTCTACGACCAGGTCAGTCGAGTGCGCCTGATACGGTGGTGACGGATCCCGTCACGGTCACAAGGCAATTCAGAAAGGGTACTCCAGAGGCGGAAGGTGGAGTCTCGGAGCCGTACCCTCTAC